AGCAGATCTTCATGGAATGTGGTATCCTACTGTCAGAAGGACTCTAGTGTGTCTCTCCAAACTGTACAGATGTATAGACGTATGTAAAAATGTCTTTATCTGTTCTTAAGTGAAGTTATGAAGTATGTAGCACCATGTCTAAATATTTTAATGTAAATTAGGAATGGACAGTTGGTGACCTTTGTTATCTCTTAGTCTTTTTGCTGCTGTCTTTATGTAAAACAAGTGAACTGACAAATTTAGGTCACCATTTCCAATACAATTTTGTATTTGTAGAGTTAGAAAAAAGGCACTGGTTTGTACATCTATTGCTTTTGCTATTGCAGAAATACTTCTGTCTCTGATGCTCATGATACTTATTGCACCAAAGTTGAGGGGCGAATAGGACAAGAAAGAATAGAAAGTTCTGGATCGATTATAGAGAATGATCTTACTGCTGAAATTACTGGGTGAATGTGTTATTTGCTATGTGCTTTGCAGGACATGAGGCAAGGTGATGTTTCTGGCCTTAAAAATGGAGACTCTACTACTACATTTTGGGAAATTTTTCAAACATTTTTTGTGGCACATCTTTTCACCTTTCAAAATGTAGGAGACATTTCCAAAGTTTAAGACAGTAGGAATCTTCACATCTAACAGAAGCAAAAGTGGTGTTTACTTCACAAGTATTTTGAGACTTGCCCTTTAGAATCTGATTTATGTCTGTTACCTAATAGCATAAAAGGCTAATAAGTCTCTGAGAAGCATAATGCAAGTGGTTTTGCTTTTTTGTAAGTGTTGTATCTTTATTAGATACGTTTAATGCATTTCAAAATATCTTTGATAGGTGTTATGTGAAACTGCTACCAAGATGCTATTTGCTTAAAAAGAAGCTGGAAAATACTAATACTTCATTGCTTAATATATCAATCTCATTAAAGATAAATGAGTATTTGCCCTTGTTTTCAGCTAGACCTTTGGAAATGAGGTTGGGTTTGTGTTGTTTGCAAGGCTCGTTTATACTGTGTCAGCACTGTGATTTATTTATTTTTTCACTGAGGTATTCTAGCAGCACTGGTACACCTTGCCTGCTCCCTGTAGATAGGAGAAGACATGAATGAAGTGGCAGTGGCAAGTCTTGGGGCAGTCAGGACTGTCCTGTGCTATGTTGGAGTTCTGGTGGAGGCGAGCTGTGTTTCTGCGGCAAGCTCAGCCGTATGATCAAGTTGCTGCAGCTTAGTGAGTTACTCTGTGTCACCTGGGCCATGGCAGCTGTCATGTTTGTTTACTAACCTGGCACAAACCTGAGGTAATTTGAGTTTGCTTGAGGTTAAGCTCGCTCAAATGATCTCACGCGTGTTGCAAGTATAAATTGCACACACAGGTAGTTACCCTGGCGCATGAAGTGTCTAGTCAGGTTACCCGCTAAGCATCTTTCATTCCATTAGCTGTGAACGCATTAGGTGGCACTGACATGTCACTACCCAGGTACAAATTCAGAGCTGGAGGGTGAACGGGGCATGCTTGAGTGTATACCTGTGTCCAGTCCATCTAAGTGCTGTAGCAAGCCTTTATATATGAACATCATGTCGTACTGAGTTTGGACAACATGTTTGTAGCTAACTGATCTAGAATTTTATGTGCTGGCAAGCACATCCTTCACAAGCTACAACTCTTATAGATTCTGCCTAAGCTTTGCTAAAACCTTTTTTTTTTTTGGTCTGATTTCCTTTTCCCTGCAGAGGGCAGTGTTTCAGGGATTATCGCAAGAGGCCTTATCTGCCTGCATCCACTCGCTGCTGGGAGCTGCTGATTCTATCAGCAAAACCAAGGTCAGAACCTGTGCTTTGGCTACGATTTCTTTTTCACCCCGCATGTATATCTAAAGCTGTGAAGCAGTTGCTCAGAATTCTGTTGAAATCTCAGTGAAAGCATGTTCCTCTGCCCCCAGAGACCTGATGGATTTGCCAGCTTTTAGTTACAGTTGATGTATTGTAAAGCAAAGGTAATGATTCACATGCTCACCTATCTGAAAGGTGGAATACAAATCATAGCAATCGTATTCACAGGCTGCTCTAACTCATGTGAATTCAGTCAAGTGATACCTAAAGAAAAACTGCTAGAAGTCTCTGCTCCCTATATTTGTTTTTACCGCCTGTTCCTCTCTTCTCTTTTTCTCTGCCTCCATTGTTTAAATTTTCAAAAATCTTTCCAAGTATTAAATTCACTGGGAAGATTTGTTAAGTGTTCTCCGCTCAGAACTGTCTGTTATCAAAAGGTTTGGTCTGATGTGTGGCTCAGAACTCAGTGCAGTTTCATCACATCATTTTAAGTGTTACTTTAAGTAGTTGGAATAAACCTTCTTTCTTCCTGTCACAGTTCCTTTAATACAAATACTTAGTAATTTGCTAATTCCTAACAGCCAGAAAGGGAATTTAAAAAAAAAAAAAAAGTCTTAGTAGGCTAAAATTGTTGCATTTGTATAAGCAGTAAATATTTAGTAATGCAAAAAGTTTTAGTTGCTATTAGAAATGAAGAGCTGTTTTGCGCTATTTCTTTTGAGCGTCCTTTGAAAAATATCTGTTAAACATAGTAGCTTTAAAAAGAAATTCAAACCACTTTCCCTTCTAGCTTGAGCAGATAACTACTATATATGTAACTGATTCAGAGTTCTGCAGTTAATTACCCACTCCAGCACCATATATTGGGTCAGCATTGACTTAAGGTATTGCAGAGAATGAAACTCCTCCTGCAGTGAACCCTAGATAGGTTGGCCCGGGACTAGGCTCTGTACCACGTTGTTCTCGATGCATGTTAATTTAAGATTATCTGGTGAAATCGTGCATGTAAGAATAAAACAAGAAAAACCCAAGAAAGCGTTCCACCACTTATTTTTAGTAAACATTTCTATTTGTTAAAACTGCAGATTTAAATCTAATTTCTTCTTTACTGTTTTATTTAATGTTATATCAAGGAAAGTTCTCTTCCAGCTTGCAAAAGCAAATTTGAATTCTTGAGTCGTCCTCCATTTACCTCAATGAGCTGTGAATTTCAAAGATTAAAAGCAGCAGGCAGTATAAAGCATATAGCTAAAACAACAAGCAGTGCAAATCTTGACTGTCTTGGTGGTGTGAACTTGGCCTTGTTTTATTCTTTGTATTTTTTCTGTACTGTTTAGAAATTAACTAAGCTCTGTGTTTAATGACATGAGAAAAATGCTTCCTAAGACCTTTGCACAATAGCACAGTTAATCAAGGTTATTACAGAAACATTAACTGTTTGGCTTTTTTTTAATCATTGTAATCATCAAAAAAATTTTAGAACCTTGTGTTTTTCAATTCTAAATTACATCAATTACATTAAATAATTCCTGGCTCTTAGGAAGAATAAGTTTGGATCTTTCAAATAATGGATACCTGTACTTAATGTGGACATTTAGTAATATGACAGTGTAATTTAATTCTTCAAAAAAATCTGAGTAAAGTCAGCTTCTATAGAGCAATGTGTTAGGAACGGTACAGAAGTGGGATTTGTGGATCCCAGAGTAGTTAATGGCACTACAGACTAATGGAAAAAGCTTGTTAGTAAGATTGTTAGTGTTAATTTCATTATAGGAAGTAACTAATAAAAGTGGAGATGTTGAAACTTCGCTCTTCATTTAATTGTGGTTTTTTTTTTTTTTTAAACATGTAATGGATGTTCTTTCTCTTGTTGTGCTGTAGACCCAGGTTGATGGACAGCTTTTCTTAATAAAACACCTTTTGATTCTTCGTGAACAAATTGCTCCTTTCCACACTGATTTCACCATTAAGGAAATTTCCCTGGACCTTAAGAAAACTAGAGGTACTGAACAGTAGCTGGCTACAGAATGGGATGGGATTGTCCTCCCTTAATGTGCCAGCAAAAGTTTTGGGTTTATTTTATGTTCACTTGCAATGACCTGTACGCTTGTTCTGATCTCTTGCTTTGTTCTTGTCTTCTCTGGAAAAACCCCCAAAACTATTCTCTTATTCAGGGTAATTCAAGATGTATCTAAGAAATTCTTTATTTTTGCATGAAATGCATTTGACTGTTTTTTGCTGCTGACCTAACTTACTTATCCAGTCCTTTTTAAGAACAGCTAAGTAATCTACGTTTCTATTGCACAGAGATGTCTTTCCCCTTTTCTGACCCTTTAAAGGAATGTCTTTTGTTACCACTATTTAGCAGGTGAATTTAACAATACATGGTTGACTTCTCTAGAACAAATTTAAGATTTCCTAGACCTTTCTGTGAGGTTTTGTTTTGGAAAGGATTTCTTATGTCGCAAGTTCAATGAGCAGTATTGAACAGTTTTATGTAGTAACCGTGTCTGTTGCAGGAAGGGAAAATAGAAAGTAGTGGCCGTGTTCATGACTTTTAAAATGGTACTATGTTTCCTTTGTAAAATGCAGGAAAAAAACTCGATACAAGAGTGAACTGTCATGCACTTGTCAAGTTTATAAAGATAAGGGGAAAAATAATGGGAAACATATCAAGTTTCTCTTCTTCCATTGCAGAAGAGAAAGCTGAAGAAATAACATTTCTTTCCTGCCATCTAATATGCTGCTCCTTTAACTCTGAAGCAAGCAATTCTTACACTAACCATTTTACCTGTTGCATTTGAACATCAATGAAACCTCCTACCTGTTGAGTAGTTTCTAGTTGACTGGTGGTTAACAGGCAAATACATCCTTTTGGTGTCTTGTCCTGGCTGACACACAAGTTTGTTCTCCATCTTCATTTAATTGAATAAATTTTTGTGCCAGCCAGTGCTTTGCAGGTGGTAGTGGTAAGTAATGGAAAACACTTTATTTATATTGGGTGGTGGTGGTGGTGTTGAAAAGAGGGACATTGTGCTTAATTCTTAATGTGGCGTAGCATAGGCCAGTAGGGCTTTCATATTTGGGATGAGTTGTAGAAGAAAAATAACATGGCTAATAGGAGTTTTACTGTGTTCTAGCCAAGCTTTCTGCACATAGATTTAAGATTTAATTTGAGATTTATAGGCAAAGGGACACTGCTTAATGTAAAAGTCATGTTTCCACCCATTTTTTTTTAAAGTAGTATAATGCTAAGGTTCATGTAATTGAAGGATACAGTGGGGAGAAGTGACTTTTACACTGACTAGCTCACAGGCTTCTAATCAAAAACTTAGGTTCTTTCTGGAATTGGTGAAGTTTCTGGGCAATAATTCAGAGAACAAAATGAATCGTTCTTTGTGGTCTCCTTTAACTGCGTAGGAGCGCAGATTCTTAGTTCAGTGCAAAACCTACATGCCTGCATATCTGGTATTCCCTGTTTGTTTAATGCCTTTGACGGCACTTCTTTAATTCTTACATCTTGTTTCACTCCCATTGTTTTATACAGCAAGAGGGGTGCAGAATTGCTTTTGAAATGGAAAAAAAAAAAAGCAGATGGATGTGTAGGATGATAAATGAATCACATTAGGGCAATAAAGCCATACTGAAACTGTATTGATAATTTTCTTTTTCCCAGTTTGACTAGATTTCATGTTGGCAATATCCTGGTAACACCATAGGAATATTTCAGTATCTTGTGTTAATTACAGACATTGTTGCTTTTCCTTCTTGGGACTTCTGTAGTTGTTTAGTCCTAAGTAAAATAATTGAGTGCAGAGGAAAAGAGTGGCAGTTCTAAGTTATGTCATGCAACTGTACTTGGTTTTCCCAGGCAACATGGGCCAAATTCTGCATATTGTTTGTAAATCCTTAACTCTATAACTTACGTAAAAGTCTTTCACTTGTAGATAATAGTTACAAAAGTAAAAGAGCTCACAAAATTTGTGTGCTGATAGCAAACAAACCGTTTGTTTGTTAGGTTTGTGTAATGTATTTATCTATTTAGACTGTGCAACTGTTAGATTTGGGTTTACCGTAGGTGCAATTAAAAAATAGTGGCTCAAGCTTTGTGTGCGTCTGTGCATGTGTACTTGTGCATCCACACCTAGTGGTAGTGGAATCATTAATATTGTATTCCTAATCATGCTGGGCCATCTTTTATGTGTAAATGAGTGATTAAAGTTTTTAATTCCTGGAGCTGAATCCCACTGGCTTACAGTGTGAGTGACTTTCTGATTCACAGATGCAGCATTTAAAATCCTGAACCCTAAGACAGTTTCAAGATTTTTTAGACTAAACAGCAACAACGCCTTGATACAGTTCTTACTGGAGGTAATATGGAGTCTTATTGCATTAAGAAAAATTGTAATGTAAAAGTCATGTTTCCACCCATTTTTTTTTTAAAGTAGTATAATGCTAAGGTTCATGTAATTGAAGGATACAGTGGGGAGAAGTGACTTTTACACTGACTAGCTCACAGGCTTCTAATCAAAAACTTAGGTTCTTTCTGGAATTGGTGAAGTTTCTGGGCAATAATTCAGAGAACAAAATGAATCGTTCTCTGTGGTCTCCTTTAACTGCGTAGGAGCGCAGATTCTTAGTTCAGTGCAAAACCTACATGCCTGCATATCTGGTATTCCCTGTTTGTTTAATGCCTTTGACGGCACTTCTTTAATTCTTACATCTTGTTTCACTCCCATTGTTTTATACAGCAAGAGGGGTGCAGAATTGCTTTTGAAATGGAAAAAAAAAAAAGCAGATGGATGTGTAGGATGATAAATGAATCACATTAGGGCAATAAAGCCATACTGAAACTGTATTGATAATTTTCTTTTTCCCAGTTTGACTAGATTTCATGTTGGCAATATCCTGGTAACACCATAGGAATATTTCAGTATCTTGTGTTAATTACAGACATTGTTGCTTTTCCTTCTTGGGACTTCTGTAGTTGTTTAGTCCTAAGTAAAATAATTGAGTGCAGAGGAAAAGAGTGGCAGTTCTAAGTTATGTCATGCAACTGTACTTGGTTTTCCCAGGCAACATGGGCCAAATTCTGCATATTGTTTGTAAATCCTTAACTCTATAACTTACGTAAAAGTCTTTCACTTGTAGATAATAGTTACAAAAGTAAAAGAGCTCACAAAATTTGTGTGCTGATAGCAAACAAACCGTTTGTTTGTTAGGTTTGTGTAATGTATTTATCTATTTAGACTGTGCAACTGTTAGATTTGGGTTTACCGTAGGTGCAATTAAAAAATAGTGGCTCAAGCTTTGTGTGCGTCTGTGCATGTGTACTTGTGCATCCACACCTAGTGGTAGTGGAATCATTAATATTGTATTCCTAATCATGCTGGGCCATCTTTTATGTGTAAATGAGTGATTAAAGTTTTTAATTCCTGGAGCTGAATCCCACTGGCTTACAGTGTGAGTGACTTTCTGATTCACAGATGCAGCATTTAAAATCCTGAACCCTAAGACAGTTTCAAGATTTTTTAGACTAAACAGCAACAACGCCTTGATACAGTTCTTACTGGAGGTAATATGGAGTCTTATTGCATTAAGAAAAATTGGGTCATTTAAGCGGGTGGTGATGTCTGGCAAATAAAAAGGAGAGAATTGTTGTCTTCTGTTCAAGGGTACTCCAGAAATCAGAGAACATTATATTGACTCTAAGAAAGATGTAGATCGTCATCTGAAATCTGCTTGTGAGCAGTTTATTCAGCAGCAAACCAAACAGTTTACAGAACAGCTGGAAGAGTTCATGACGAAGGTACAAACATGTTGTATGTTCGTTAGCCTAACTGAAATATTGGTAGCACAAAGGAATTGGTATTTAAATTTGGTATAGCAGAAGCTGTTAGTTCTGTCTGAATAGCTGAAGGTGATGGCATTTCCTGTTATAAGGTTGTGCTTCCCTTTACGTTCCAACAAGAATTTTCCAGGCGTTTTTGAGATTAATGGATTAAAGGAACATGACATAGTTTGTTTTTAAAAGCAATGCTTATGCTTTTCGATCAAGACGCTTTAATGTTGAAACAGGTCTGTGAAAGTTGGCAGGAGCTTTTCTGTTTGCAGGAAAGCTCCTACCTTTACTGAATTTGTAAGCCTAAGTGATTTTGGGTCACATGTATTCTTGAGGAAGGTCTTAGAGCATGGCTGTGAAGTGTGTTAGAAGTTTCTGCTCTGAGCATATTTTACAGCAGAGAGATGCTTGCTGAGCAGGACTTTCCTCCCAAGTCCTGTTTGTGACAGAAGTTCCTGATAGAAAGATCAGGCATTCTAAAGGGGAAGAATAAAAAAGATGTCTTATTACAGTACACTTCTTTCTAGAACCTGCTCTAGAACTCAAGGTTTCTAGTCATTTTGAGAAAACCACACAGCAAGTTCTATTACTTCTGGAAAATTATAAGTGTGATGTGGATCCTTAGGTACTGAGAATAAGTGGCATGACATCTCAGAAAGTATTGAAAGACAAGTATCCCAGCCACTGTTTCTTTTGAGAATTTAGAAGATTACAGTATTACATTTCTGATGCCTGTCATTCTGGGGTGAGGGGCCAGTGGCATGCCTAAAATATAGATGGGTAGCTGGTGAGATTGATAGATTGTCCAAGTGATCCCAGTGATTTATTGGGAATCTGGGGAGTTTGACCTGCTTAAGTATAAATCTCTTTTGAGGCTTTGTGTCATCAGGTGCCTAAGCATCTCCATAAATTTAATCCCATTTTGAATTTTACTTCCAAGAAGTGATCATGGTTGTAATTTTGAATTTAATTTCTGTCAAGCTGTTTCCCCTGTGTATCGTTAAGTCAGGGCATAGAAGAGAGAGAGGAGGGGAGATTCTGCACACTCCAATGTCTAACAGACTTGTGCAATTGTTACTTGGTCACTTTGTTGTGAATTCAACTGAAAGAAACATAATTTTGTTGATTGTACTTGTTTTAGGTAGCTGCTTTAAAAACAATGGCCACTCAAGGAGGTCCCAAGTACAGCCTTTCACAGCAACCTTGGGCGCAACCAGGTATTTGCTTTGTTTTATATTCATGTTACCTCTGAGGTGCTTGTGGGCTAATAAAGCTGTGATCATTTACTGCTTTGAGACTTCTTCTAAAAACTTCTCATCAAACGGAGGAAAAGACCCTTCCCAGTCACCATTTTTGCAGTATAAGCTGCATTATATGGGGCTCAAGTATTTGAGAATGTCGTTTGTCTCTGTGCCTGACTTCTAAAAGGTAGGAATCTGAAAATCTGGCCAGATGAATTTGGACTGGGAGACTGTGATTGATTTGGAAAAATTCTAAGTAACTAAGCACTGTCTGCCTTTTTCCTGAAAATCCTGGCTTCCATTTTTACCTGTGTGCTACTTTAAATGTCATAATATACCTCTAAATCAAAACCTGACAAACTTCAGAATATGTTTTTAATTGGTGCAGTAGATGAATGACTTGAGTATTTCTCAAGCTGTGACTGTTCTTGCATAAAAACAGCATTTCCACAACTGCATACGGAATGTGTTTAAGGAATTAAAAGCTTTATCTTAATGTAAGCAAGTGCTTTTGTAGGAAAAAAAGAATCTGCATTGAAGCTTTTATTGTCTGTACATTTGGTACCTACTTCCTTCTCAGTTTTCCTGTCACTTTGCAAAAATGGAATCCAGCTTTGTTTTCCTCTTAAGAATTCAAATGTGAATGCTTCATAGGAACGTTTGGAGTAGTTTAGATGTTCCTGGGTTGCTTTGCTCTTCACGTTACAAAGTTGTGCTTCTGGGTACCACTGAGAAATCTGATTATTCCAATTCATACATTGGAACCTTCTGTTGCATCATGTTCTTAAAATGCAAAGCCAGCCACGTTCATTCATAATTCAGTGCTGCTCCATGGGTCAGACACTCTCAAGGGCTAACTCAAGCTTCTACTTAACATCTCCTGCTTCTTCAGGAGTATTTTTAATGTTTGTTTGGAGATAATTATGCGTGTAGAGGCAGATCTAAGCAGATCTTCTGCTGTTTCTTGGAGTTGTTTGTCTGGGAAGCAGGAGTAGGCAGAAAATTTAGATACAGTAGAAATTGAGGGGGGGAAAAAAATAACACAGTATATTAACTTTGGTACTTTAAAGCTCTGTTGTGGTTTAACCCAGCAGGCAGCTAAACACCATGCAGCCATTTGCTCACTCCTCAGTGGGATGGGGGAGAGAATCAGAAAAAAAGTAAAACCATGGGTTGAGATAAAGACAGTTTAATAAAACAGCAGAGGAAAACAATAATAACAATGAGAATCATGATAAAAGAATACACAAAACAAGTGATGCACAGTGCAATTGCTCACCACCCGCTGACCGATGCCCAGCCAGTGATTGCTGTCCTCCAGCCAACTCCCCCCAGTTTATATATAGAGTGTGATGTCACATGGTATAGAATATCCTTTTGGTCAGTTGGGGTCAGCTGTCCTGGCTGTGTCCCCTCCCAGCTTCTTGTGCACCTGGCAGAGCAGGGGAAGCTGAAAAGTCCTTGACCAGTCTAAGCACTATCCAGCAACAACCGGAACATCCATGTGTTATCAACATTCTTCTAGTAGTAAATCCAAAACACAGCACTATGCCAGCCACTGGGAAGAAAGTGTACTCTATCCCAGCCAAAAACAGGACAAGCTACAAAATTTATTTTTCCTCTACCCTTTAAGCAGAGATCTTGGAAAAGCATTAAAATACCTAGCAATAACAAAAGAAGGTCTTGTCTGAGAGAGGATTCCTGTCTGATTCGTTCAAAATCCAGATGGCTGTGTAGCCTTTCTTCTTACAGACATGGCCTGTGGTCAGTAAGGAGAATTTGTGATGTGCTGTTCACTTTACTAGCACTGTTTATTTCCCAGCAGTTTCTTTTCCAGGCAGATTTTCTAGGGGGAAGCCTACGTAGAACTTTGTTGCTGTTGGTAGGCTGTGGCTTCAGGAACCTCAGGAGGATGTGGTAGCTTGCAGAAACGGGTCAGATGA